TGGACACGTTCCCCACAGGCCCGATCCGTTTCTTGCTGTCCCAAAATCCTCTGATGTCCACGCAGGCTTGGTGGAACGATGGCAACATAGCACGGTCACCTCGCGTGTTGTCATATGTGGAAACATAATGGTACCCGTTCGTATGGTCATCGTCAAAATAAATGATCCGTACACGATCATAATTCCGAAAGCCGAACACCTCCACCGTTGCAGAGTTCTTCGCCACCGCTCTTTTCATAGCTTCGGAAGAATGTTGACCGACAACCGGGTAATAGAAAAACTCATCTGCCCGTTCGGGGTCGAAATCCTCTGGAAGGACGCGGGTTCCTTGTTTGTCCGCATCCTTTGATGGATTAATCGGAGCCAGCACCAACTCCGGTGGATCCCACGGAGCCGGATCATCCACGGACTGTGGGCGAGTTGATGCTTCAATTGCCGCTTCGATACCTGCGACGATGGCCGGGTTCAGCGCTCGCTGGTTGAAGGTGATCTCTCCCACCGGAATCGGAAGAATCTGCATGACGTCAATGACCACCCTAGGCGGGTCCTTTCTCATTTTGTCGTCCTCGACGTACTGGAGGAAGAAGCACTGCGTCATGTTCACCGCTTTGGGTTTCTTCGTCTCTGGTTCGTCGTCGTCAGGGATGGAGAGAAAACGAGGGGCCACCCCTTCAGCATCGTCGCTCGAGTCATCCGATTTCGGGTGCCTCGACGACCGCACAGGCTTCCTGGGTTGCAACGTTTTGCGAACCCGAGCTTTGGATTTGGATTCCACACYGGCTTCACCAGGCGTACCAGCATCTGCATCCAAGGCGAGCCGAACGTCCTGCATAGCTTTTCTTCGAGCCTGCTTCTTAGGCGCGGCTCGCTTCGGCGACGATTCCGCTGTGCGTTTTCCCCTCCCCTTCGAAGTAAGCTCCGCGAAAACATCGACATCCTGTCCTTCGTCTTTCATTTCCTCGTCTTCCATTTCCTCATCTTCCATCTCCTGGTCTTCCATCTCCGAACCACCCACATTACCACCGAGCACCCCTCCGCATGCCGATGCCTTTTCGCAATCCATGTGGTCATGCCCACCACCACATTCTCCTTCATTCTCATCGTCTTCTCCATCGCCCCTCGCCCGGGCTTCGTCGCCTCTACTATCCTCCCGCTCTGCAATCACATCGCAAGAGCCTTCGCCCTGGGTGAACCTTCGCGTGGCTAGTGACTGGGATTGCAATCGGCGAATCCGTTCATCGTCCTCTGTCTTCTCGCTTGACTCCTCGTCCATTCGACGTTGGGAGGTGTCCTGCGAGCGCGAGCTTCTACCGGCACGCGAGCTTCCCGGAAGACTGGAAGGTGGTTTGTCGAGCACCTTCTTCTTCGGAACGTTTCCCGATGAACCACCGCTCGGACGCCTCTGGTAAGTAACGAGTTTCTCCTTCGCGGACACCGATGGTTGCGGAGTCGAGACATCCTGCCGCCGATCGCTAGAGCACGCTAACAAGCCTGCGAGACTTTCTCCTGGAGCGTCGAACGGCACAAGAGGCAACGAGAGATGGTAACCAGCGGAGACCGTCGGGTATTGACCACTTCTCCTATACCCATTGGTCTTGGTGAGGAATTCAATGGGTAAGAGCATCCTCGAAGCATTCCCGTCCCGCTTGCTGCTGAACGCTTTCATACCGAATGCCTTCTGACCATACCCCTTGAACAGAGCAATGTCAAGGCTGACCTTGTGGTCAGTCTTGACCCAGTTCGTACCCTACTCATCGTACACCGAAGTGAGGAGAATGTCTGACCGTCGTAGCCTATAGATTTTCTTATTGGCTCTCAGGTTCGCTGTTAGTGCTTCCATCACCACAAGGAAGAGGAAGGGGGCTAGCGGGTCACCCTGCCGCACCGAGCGCTGAAGTTTAATTTCTGGCGCCAGTAGCCCATTCACTTGTACTCGTGTAGTCGCATTTTGATGGAGTATCATATTCCAGTCCCTGAATTCCGGGCCGAAGTTCATTTTATGCAAGCATTTGTCCAGAAATTTCCAATCTACGTGGTCGTAGGCTTTTTCGAAATCGATGAACACTATGGCCGCGTTTTGGTGCGACTGCCTCGATAACTTGATCAATTCATTGACCAGTAACACATTGTCTTGGATATTCCTGTTACGTATAAACCCCGTTTGTGCGGGGTGGATTATCTCCTCCAGGACCGGTATCAATGAAGGGGGGCAAATCGATGGGGGAGCGATCTCGATGGATCAGTGATTGGAAGATAGGATTCAGGAATCTGGAGTTGTTAGACATCTTGTGGGAGCTGGAGGATGGGCCGGATCCCCGGCTCAATGTCTGCATCGAATGGAGGCGGGTGGATGACAGGTTGGCTGCTTGCAGAACCCTCTTCACATTGGGGCGAGATCTACGTAATCAGTTGGGGTATCGGTATGGATTGCTGGCAGGCGAAGATGATTGCGGCGAGGATGATGACAAAACAACAACGGGGACACTCATCTGCAGTGGGGTGATAGGAACCGGGTGGATGAGTGGAAGGTGAAGCACGAGGTTAAAATAGAGGCGGTGGCTGTGGTGGAGGGGATGCAGGGAATCGGCGACATCGACAAGAAGGGTGCGAAGGTGGACGACGATAACAACAACAATAACAACAACAACAACAATAATTATGTGACCGTTTGAACGCGCCGAACGCGCGTTCGCTTTCGAATGCCCGCGTTCAAACGGCCTTGGGCCGCGTTCATACGCGTTCAAACGCGTTGTGCAGCACGTGGCGCGAATCTATCGAACGCGACCCACGCTGCCATATGAGCGTATGGTGGACTACGGGTGGGGGAATTTGGATTTTCATAAAAAAAAGAAAAAAAAGTGGCAGTGTTTATCTCCATGTACTAGTTATAGATTCATTCGATTTTGCTCATCAGATCCATAGAAGTACCATGAGGTCGGCTGCGCTGTTGGAGACTTACCTGCTCTCGGAGTTCTCCTCTCTCTCTCTCTCTCTCACACACACACACAAAAAAAAAAGTAGGAAAAAAAAAACAAAAAAAATGTGTGGCAGTGTATATTTCCACGTTGTAGCGGTAGATTCATTCGATTTTCCTGATCACATCGATGGAAGTACCATGAGGTGAGCCGCTGTTGGATACTTACCTCTTCTCTCTCTCTGTCTCTTTGCCTCTCTGTCTCTCTCTCTCTCTCTCTCACACACACACACACACACACTCACACACACACATACACAAACACACATACAAAAAAAAAGAAAAAAAAAAAAGAAAAGTGTGGCGGTGTATATTTCCACGTTGTAGAGGTAGATTCATTCGATTTTGCTCATCACGTCGATGGAAGTACCATGACGTGAGCCGCGTGGTTGGAGACTTACCTTCTCTCTCTCTCTCTCTCTCTCACACACACACACACACACACACACACACACACACACACACACACACAAACACACACACAAAAAAGCAGAAAAAAAAAAACAAAAAATAGTGTGGCAGTGTATATTTCCACGTTGTAACGGTAGATTCATTCGATTTTGCTCATCACGTCGATGGAAGTACCATGAGGTGAGCCGCGTGGTTGGAGACTTACCTTCTCTCTCTCTCTCTCTCTC